TGCTCCAGGCTAGCACTTCATGTGTAAGTGTGCATGCCCGGGGGTGTGGGCTAGAGGGTAGCCTCCGCTGCTGCTGTTCCCCTTCACACACTATCCATCTTGTTTTCAGGCAGGGTCTCTCTGAGATCTGGGTTTCTTTCTATGTCAGGTGGGGCTGGTTGGCTTACCTCTCCTGCAAGGCAATTGCTCATGTCCACCTCCATGCCTGAGGGCTGGGACTCGAACTCAGGTCCTCCAGCTTATGCATCGAGCACATTGTTGACCACACCACCTCCCCAACCCTGACTGTCACACTTTGTGCAGAAGAAAGGAAAGACCTGGCCGGATCTGCAGCACAGAGAGGCAGGAAGGGCGCTGGTTATGTGCACAAGGCCACACATGATGACGGTGGGGGCCATGCTTCATAGCAGCCCAATCTTGAGGTAGCGGACGCCCTCCCGTCAGGCCTTCTCAGTTCCGTCTGAGGCACAAATCAACACCCCCTAAACCCACCTCTCAGAGGTCCAAGTCCTCGACACGGCACACCAGGACCCAGCGTCCAGTACGTAGACCTTCAGGGTCCATTCCCAACCCACAGTATTTGTGGGAAAACTAGCAATACCTCACCCGAGTAAGAAACAGAGAAGACAGGCAGTGCTAGAGGGAAGCTGGCCCGGGTGTGACTGGGCTGGAACACTCCTGCTTTGCTGGGGGAGCACACAGGCACTCAGGAGCACACTGGAGGGTTTTAAAGAAATGAAATGTTCACACACGTATGTGTGTGTGTGTGCATACATGCAATACACACCATATACAACACAAACAGGACTACTCACACATTCCAGACAGCACGTGCATTCACCCGAGTGCACACACACTCATGCACACTCAGGCACACAGGTGCACTCGCACACACACTCATGCACACTCAGGCACACAGGTGCCCTTGCACACACATACACACAGCATACACATGAAACTGCACTCGCCACACAACTCAGTAAAAAAAGCAGAGGTGTGCAGAAAAAAGCAGCTGTGGAAGAGTGTTTGGTTTGGTTTGGCTTGGTTTTTTCTGGGTGAACTCCTTCCTAACATACCAAAGTGAGAGACCGTGTGGTATGGCCATTCAGTGGAAAATCAATGCAGCAGCAACAACAACAAACAAACCACTGGCTGTGATGTTATCTGTGATCCCAGCGAGCAGAGGGCTGAAGCAGGGAGATTGTTGTGAGTTTGAGAACAGCCTGCCTGCCCTGTCTCAAAAGAAAAGGAAAGAAAAAAGAAAGAGAGGGGCTGGAGATTGCTTGGTGAGTAAAGTGCTTACCGTGTAACCCTAAGGACCCGAGCTGGCACCGCCATAACCAAATGAAGCCAGGCTCGGCAGTACACCTGTAACCCCAGGGCTGATGGCAGAGACCTGAGGATCCTTGGGGCTTGCTGGCCAACCAATCCAGCTGACATGTTTAGTTAGAAACCTGGTTACAAAAGCTAAGGTGGGGTGCTAGGGAGATGGCTGAGCAACTAAAAGTAGGTACTGCTCTTCCAGAGGACCTGGGTTCAGTTCCCAGCACCCACATGGCAGCTCACCACCACCTGCAACCCTAGTGCCAGGGAATTTGATGCCCTCATCTGGCCTCCACAGGCTCAAAAGTGGTGCACAGACAGACATGCAGGCAAAAAAGTTCATATGCATAAATAAAAATAAATATTTAAAATACAAGATGGAGAAGTAATTGAAAAAGATATCTCAGTCCCAACCTTGGCTTCCAAACACGCCTGCATAGGTAAATGCAGCCACACACACACACATTCATACACCATGCATATACTTACATATATACACATACACACACACACACACACACACCACACACACACACACACACACACACACACAGTCTCATAGAGATGTTCAGAGAAGAGAACAAAAACATACTGTGTGTTCCATTATCTAAAATTTTAGAACTATAAATCTAGAGGCTGTGAGATGGCTCAGCAGGGATAAAGGTCCCTGCTACCCAACCATGTGCGAGCCTGGTTGCATCTCCAGAATCCATATAAAGATGGGAGGAGCAACCTGACTCTACAAAGTAGTCCTTCTGACGTTTACATGCAAGCCGTGGCACACGTGGTGGCACACACACTACTGCAATAATAAATAATTGTTTTAAATACAGAGTTAATGACAGAAGGGAGATTGGCGTTGCTTGGATCAAGCACCCACTGGTTGGGAAAACAAAAAAAGAAACAAAGTTTTGGAATGAAGGCCCTGATCTACAGGGTGGTAAAGGTTAAACAGACAAACACATTTGTCAAAACTCATCAAGGGCTGGCAAGATGGCTCAGAGGTTAAGAGCACTGACTGCTCTTCCAGAGGTCTTGAGTTCAATTCCCAGCAACCACATGGTGGCTCACAACCATCTGTAATGAGATCTGGTGCCCTCTTCAGGTGTGCAGATATGCATGGAAGCAGAGCACTGTATAT